GAGCGAAACTTCATGGAGATGCGGAAGCTCTAAAGACGGGGAACTCTACGAAGTTCTGAACTTCTTCAGGGATAGGCATTTTGAGGCTAATCCTACCAACGACCAATCTGAAACTCATCCATCAAACACAAGCAACCTACAGGCTGAGCAGCAGCGCTTCGCCGCTGTAACGATATAGTTCGTCTCACCGTCGTTTCTTAAATTAGACATTGTGCTTCTGCGACCGACCGACCGCATTCAAGCTCTACTAGTTGTTGTGTCTACTTCCGTCCGCGAAATTCCAGGTAATCTGCCGTTCGACGAGCGGGTACTTGATCATTTGCAGTGACAGAAGGAGAAGATGACTTCAACTAAGAGTTGCCGACTGGAATGCAGGACCATTCAACGCCGACAGAGGATCACTCGACCAACTGTCTAATGGAGGCTAGACATCAAGCTGTTCGGATCCTAACTTGGAGATCTCACTCACTCCACACGTCCAACAGAATTCAACTTCCATAGACGATTGCCGTTGCAAAAATGGCGCTTAGAACTGTTCTGACATCACCCAGTTGTTGTTGTTCTCTTCCTGACTACATCTGAGAGATTCAGCGAACAGCATTTGGACTATCGTGCAAACTTGCAGTGCTGTGTGTTGTCGAAGAATGACCAAGCATCACGCCCGGTTAGAAATGCTCCTAGCATTTCAAGGACAAAAATAACACCAAAGTACAAAAGAGACCTATGTTCAGTGCATATTCAAGGCACTCAACAAAATATACGCATCAATTATAGCTATCGGGCTGCAATGATGAACAATTGCACCAAGAACACCAGGAAACTGCAGCAAATAAATGCATCAAGGAACAAATTAGTAATGACAATAATCAGACTAGTTAGAACCATTGCAAATGGAGTCGGGACGATGATGTGCACCAAGAGGGACACCATATTATTACCAAGAATACCACAGCCACGCAGACAGGTGGAGAGGGGGAGGGAGAGATAGGATCTGAGCGATGCACGATTGGTCGTTGACTCGTCAAGGTCATAGCCATGAGCAACACGGTAGAAATAAGGCACATGTGGGAGCAGAGCAGACAAAGTGGCTGTAGCGGTGAAACGGTGTAACAAAACGTAAACAAACAAAAGCGGAAACCACCTAACATTTTGTACAGATATCACGGAGAGAGAGGAGCAACGAGTTGGTCGGATGGAGGGGATGGAGAACGGCGTGTCATCCAGCAGCGATGGGACGAGGGCTTGTGGGCAAATGAGAGGAGAGCGAAACCGGTGACCAGAATCTATGTCAGCAACAAAGGAGCACGGTTAAAGTAAACCGGGAATGGGTTGATTGGCCGGTTGGTTGGCTAGGTAGTGACCTGGTTTGTCTGCTTCTGCACGCATACCTTGAGTACCAAGCCTTGAGAAACGTCAGGAAAGAACGAGCTTAGAACCGGGAAGGTAAATCCTGGAGGAATCGCGCAAGCACATCAGAGAACCGAACAAACAGAACGGGACTTTGGCCGGTGGAGAAGCATCTAAAAATAGAAAGAACAACAAACAGGCGTGAAAAACAATACAAAACTCCGACCTAGTTTGATCCAGTGCCTTGCATTTTAGGAAAACTTTATTCAGCCGCCGGCTAGTGGTATCAGGTGACGACTGCAATCGTTGTTATACAAATATATCTGGTAGTACTCCATCCTTCGTACTTTCTTCGGATGGCATGGTACATACGCACCGAAAGGGTACAACAGCTGGACCATTGTTATATCAAGCTCTGCGCTCATGATGGCTGTAGACCAATAACACATATTGGTGAACAAATGTCAGTGCCTGGACAGTGACACTGATCAGGTAGTGTTAAAAAGATTACCACCTGGTAACTATTCCGAATCGGAGCGATCGCTGTACTGGGACTGGATATCCTCTTTGCTCTCATGTCAACCTTAGTTACTTTATTTTCTGTAATGTCTCCCTTCCCATACTAATGGTACCCAACAGGGAATCACGAGGGGGAATAGGTGACACAAAAAATCTGAGGATATTATCACTTTAAAAATGATTATTGGCTAGAATCACTTGACATTGACACCGACCGTTTTTAGTCTTTTGCTTGCCTCGCATAAGTGGCAGATAAGCGATCTGTGCGTTGGCACTGCTCCATACGTCAAACTTTAGGGATAAACACTTTAAAAATGATTATTGGCTAGAATCACTTGACATTGATCACCACCGTTTTTAGTCTTTTGCTTGTCTCGCATAAGTGGCAGATAAGCGATCTGTGCGTTGGCACTGCTCCATACGTCAAACTGTGTTTAGGGATAACCATAGAGAAAGGTGACATTTTTTGGAAAATAGCATGTTGGTATGGATGTAAAAACAGTAGTATCCGGATTTCCACTGCACTCCCTTCGTGATGGCAGATGTTGCAAGTGCGTGTGAGAGAGAGACTCAAGCACGCCTTTCGTTTCAAAAATACGTACACCTACCCCTAAAGAAGAGCTCAAAACAGTCGCCGCCATGCTACACAGAATAGGACCCCCAGAAACGCTCCTGTGGTCAGTACTTCTCTGTGATAGCCAGTCACGAGCTGAGCTCATATACGCACGCTAAACCGACTACTGAGTTAACTGAAAACAAAAAATGAATGGTGACCTTGTACCAGACCAACAGTCCCTTTCACCTGCCCTGGAACAAAATAAAATAAGACGAGCATAAGCTTCCCAGTAACTGACACCGCAAATACGATGAGTAATGCGATAATAATACTAATGATATCCATCCAGCTGTAGTACACTTTCGGTTTCTGGCCGCTTTGCCACCCGAAGGAAGCATGAAGATTGAGGCTACAGGAACGGTCGAGATGCTGAGGACCTTCTGGTCAGTAAGCTCGCGCCTCAACAACTGAGTTATCTCGAAAACAACAGTTTGGGTCCAACAGACAATGAAGGTGGAACGTGCGTGGTACAAAAGACAAGGTGTGTGCGTGTTTCGTAACAGTAGGTGTTCTCTTTAACCCGCCGGAACGTCTCTGTAATTCGAGTAAGAATGAGGCCATCCAATCCAACGTCCAAAGTATTTTGCAGATTTTCCGTGTTTAGGCAGTTGGCGTACCAGCAGACATCGAAGAGACAATGACGCAGCGTGTTATTAACTGCTGAAAACTGTCAGACTGACTGATCATTCGGAAGGCGAGCGACCCCCACGAGTGACCACGGGAAATATTGAGGAGCGAGTCACTGACCAACAGATCCTAGGCCTAGGCCGAAGTAACCTGGTAACGTACCTCAACCAGAACAATTCCCGAACGTTGCATGACAGTTACGCATCGACTGGTTCGAAGAGCTTCACAAGTCTGAAAATTCATTCTCGCAGTGCTACGCGAGTTCACCAAACAGATGACAAGTGAGACATGTCGACTTGACATTACAGGCAGAATTCATACACCCTAGACAGGAATAAGTCATCAAAACGCCCAAATGAAAAGAACAATCACGTGTTGCTCCACAATTGTTTGGTCTGATATTCGGAATATTATTTAGTCTGACCGTTGTCGAATAGCACCAAATCGATCCACAGCTTGAATGAAATAGTAAAGTATGGAAAAGTGGTGAAACGATCAAGTAAAGGGAACTCAGGCTTGGATCAAAATGATTGGTTGGCGATCCTCGTGAAGAACGTGATTAGAAAGAAGACTATGAGATGTTAGTCATAAAGTAGGAGTCGGTGAGACCTGAAAAGCAACCCACTAAGTAATTCGCTTCGGTTGGGACTCACCGGATGGATCATAGTCCACAGTATAACCGTAAACAACCATGGATGTAGCAAGATCGGTCAGGTATCCCCTTGGTTAAAGACTGTCATAGTGAAATGTAATAGGTAAACAAGCTTGCTCACGTGGCAAATATGAAGAGAATCCATTTTTAGCTTAGGTAATGTGACGAAACAAGTCAGAAACTGACAACCTGGAAGAATAAAGTGTTATTCGTCTTCAAGATCAACCCAGGCTTTCGTTCGCAATATGGTCTGACGACAGCTGCACCCATCGAATACAGTTAACTATGAAGGTCTGTATGGCAAGGACAGTATCCAACTCACACAAGTAATCGGTTGACAGCCAGCCGTTCGAAACGAATCAACTGATCAGACGTCGAGGCACGACGGGTCAGGTTGCTGTTTCTAATGTTGCAAACTCTAGCTTACACGTATTATTCGAAGATCGAAGATGGAGTGGGAAAATCTTACAGAAGAATCGCTTCAAAAGGAGAGGAGTTAATTTTTACCGCTCCCTTCTAGCAATCGTCCCAAAGTAATTTAACCGTTCTAGAAGACCAATGTTCCAGAGCGGTTGGACGAAATATGACCCACTTCAAGCTGTTTAAAATGCTTCGGTTCGATCGAAGACCCTCAAGTGAAACGAATTGGAAATTTCCAAACTGCACATTCATGCGTATGATAGTGGACTCAAATCTAGCTGAGGGTAAGCCTCTTCCCACCCACCCCCACCCCAAATAAGAGGACGGCACATGTTTTCTCCCGGCCTCAACTCGTCGGAGGATATGATTTCGTCTTTTCGTCGTCTCGATGTTGGAAGTTGTATATCTTCCTGACATCCGTCGGTGGGGGAGTTGCCACAGCGACGGCTTTGTCGCAGTTTACACGGCCTGATCACCATCCGAATGCACAACGAAACTGAGAAAATACAAATTCTGCGGTGGGTGACGATTGGAGACGATGATTTCCAGATTTGCTATCAGATCAAAGTGGTCGCGGGCAGCGTATCATCAGTTTCTCCGGATTGGGTTCAAAGAAAGTGAACGTTACGCATCCTAACTGCCGTTCTCAAGAGACTGTGCACCATGAAATCTGACATACACCACCACTCATGAGGTCATTTTTTCACAAAGATTAGTGATAAGTACTTTTGGTGAGTTCTGTGAGCTACGATGCTAAGAAACCACTGCTTGGAGATGTTTTTATCTAAAGTCTTATACAGAGGGGCGATTGCGCCAAATTACCAATCTACGAGTAAGTTCACACAACAGCCAAAACATGCCTGATTGACTACTTCAATAAAAGCTTCATTCACGCCGATCTCGTCTCTCGCTGAGGTTTCCAGATGCGGACAACACCAGTGTGCTGCCAAATCTTCGGCTTCCGATCGATTGACTTCACGGCGATCTTCCATAGCCAAGTCCACTTTGTTGCCGACTAATACGATTGGAACTGTCTGAGTGGAGTTTAGAGGAATGCCTTTAATTCGAAGGATGTTGTCCCGCATGCCACGGATTTCGTTGAAAGTCTGCAGACTGGTCAAGCTGTACACGATGAGAAAGCACTGACCATTTAGGATGTACAGATCACGCAACGATGAGAACTGCTCTGTTCCAGCGGTGTCCAAGATTTCTAGTGTATGACGAACACCATCAATCCTGAACGATTCAAGAGAAAAAGAAATAGGGTATGAAAAAGTAGAGTGCAGAATCCATTTTTCGATGGAAACACCACCTACACTAGGAGACATATTTCTACACAATCAAACCGATTTCTATAAAGCGATCGTCCAAACAATTAAGCTTTCGTTAACAGTCTCACTTCACCTTTAACTACGTTGAGAGAAGTGCGAAACCCCAAAATGATCGAATGCTGAACTAAGCGACCATCCTGCGACTCTTCGGACGAAGTCGAGAGGAATTACCGGAACTCAATCCCAGGACCATGCACTTTTACATTTTCCCATAGACCATAATTGCATGTTTGTAAAAGTAGCTCGTCACGGGCCAAACTAGGTAAGCTCTCTTGTACTTCATCTAACTGTGCTGGCAGAACCTCAAAACAGACTCACGTCTTGTTGAAACATGGAAATCGCAGGTTGTTCGCTGCATCAACATATGATTATTAAAACAACAGGCTATTTAACTATCCTTTGAAGCACAAACTCACCCACCGCACAACAAAAATTATGAGAAGTGTATTCCCTGTAACGACTGATGCGGTGCTTCACTATAACAAGAGACAGGGATGGCACAGTTTACACGCTAAGCGGATTTGAAGACTACGAATTGGAGTTGGGAACCCTGTAGTGCTGACGAACATTCGGTCATTAGTGGATGAATTCATAGCAGTTATCAATGAGACTAAATCTGCTGACCATGGCTCCCCCTAGATTGCCCATAATCAAACCTACTAAACCACCTACTGATTATGACACCTAGGTACAACAGTGAAGCATCAGTGTTGAGCACCGATGTCATACCGTCGATGATGATGCTGTCACCTAGATTGGCCAACACGTCAACGGCCATCTGGTCCATCTTACTGGCCGACAGAAATGATAAACCTCAGTAAAACTCACCGTTTATGTTTTCAGAAATGCGGTCTTTGGGGGTATAGTAACATGATAAACAAATACCGTTTGCCACATCGACAACTGTAGAGAGCAGAGATGACTATTTACTGTAATGCGGTTGGGAAGATCCTTCAGCTGTGAGGCTGAGTGCAAATCCCAAACCATACATGCCAAGGGCCATTGCACCAGGATCGCCAGATAACAGAGGAGTGAAATGTAAAGGATCTGAGTTCACCCTAGCGGTCTGAGTTGCCTGGCCGAAGTGACATAACCCAGAAGCAAAGAGAGTTCCTACGTGGAACGGGTCTCGTGGATTTGGCAGTGTTATTTAATTATTATAGTTAATGAGTTGGGCGGTGGTAAAGGCACATCGGCCAGATGATCCAGTAACGTCTGCCTATAGGGTTGGGGGCGATTGCTGAGGAACGCTGGTGAACAAGATACTGTATGGTAAAAGATTCTTCGCGGGTGCCCAGGCCAGGGATAGTTTTATTTAGGATACCCCACCTTGATCTTTTGACGTGAAATTCAGATTGGAAGGAGTTTTGTTCGCGGGCCCAGTCTATAGCATCTGACTTAAAAACTTTACCTACAAGCCAGCGGGTAACCTTTCCTAGCGCCAACTCCTATATAGTCTGACCTGCTCGGCTGTAATGGGATGACCCAGTCCGACGGCTCAAGGGAGAGAGCATAGATTTCTTACTCCTGATGCTGCATGCACAGAAAATACACTTAAGCTCATGGTGACATTCATTCTTCTTTCGACCGTGTTGAATAATTTGCCGGTGACTAACCACTAGAAGACCGGAGTGTGTGGCTTTTAGGGCCGATCAGTTCTGACCCGTCCTTCCTCGGGAAGGTGACATCAAAGGTCGCCTGAGGGAAGTACCATACTGCCTTCTCAACCCCACTGCAGAAGACAGTATGCCTTTACCGTCCGACCGCCTCTTATTGCGGCTATTCGTCATCATCATCATCATCATTGTCAGCTGTAATAACCGCGTACTCGTCGTACAGTGGTTGCAGCTGCCGCAGTTTCGTTCACCGATTTGGGGAGCGAGCGGTAGGTAGCTGCACAGTGCAGGCGGGAGGTGCATAAACCCAGCACTGTCAGGGGGCTGTCAAGTGGGGTGGGGGGTTGGAAAAGGAGCTATGCATTGAAGGCAATAGCATGGATGCACGAGCGCCATTGAGGGCGCGACTGGGCCATATCTGACAATGTCTCTAGCCATTGATGTGGCCCATCTCGCGATCCCCAACCAGGAAGACGGCAGTTACCAGCGCAGCTGAGTTTGCTGGTAATTGCTTTCATACTTATTATTGTTGCTGACACAAGCAAACATCAAGGGAGTCCAGTGCACGGGGAAAAGCAGCTTGTTTTGCTTGCTTCAGAAAGCGAACATTAAAGGCAGCCAAATGGTCGACCTAAAGCTGCCACCTTGACGTGGTGGTCGGGCTTGAGTGCTGCAGCGATCCCGTGGGCTACACTGGCTGGAACTTCGTTCCACAAGGTGCAACCATTCCAGGAAGGCCAAAGGGGAGCAGCCAGACCAAGAGCAGCGAGACCCCGTACTACGAGTAATCGTGCTACGAGG